TGGAAGGGCCCTTAAAGACCATCTGGTTCCAACCCCCTGCCAGGGCAGGGACACCTTCCACCAGACCAGGTTGCTCAAAGCCCCATCCAACCTGGCCTAGAACACTTCCAGGGATGGGGCAGCCACAGCTTCTCTGGGCAACCTGTACCACTGCCTCACCACCCTCATCGGGAAGAATTTCTTCCTGATATCTCATCTAAATCTTTCCTCTTCCAGTTTAAAGCCATTGCCACTTGTCCTGTCACTCCATGCCCTTGTAAAAGGTCCCTCCCCAGCTTTGTTGTAGGCGATTGATTATTTTATATAATCAATATAATCAATAATAATATATATCTTGGTTAATGATTATTTTGGGAAGGGGTGTTTTGTTACACTATGTGTGTAATTATAGTGGATTTTCTCTCTTTTTGTTATTGTTATTATCTCTTTCTCTGTAATTGTTATTAAAGAGTTTATTATTATATTAAAATAATTTACCCTGGGAAATTACTATCAGAGTGCAGAGTCCCATTAATTCCATTTCTTGTTAAAAAGTCACAAGATGCATCTCCCTGATTTGGGCTGAGCTGACCCTCTGCACTTAACAAAAATGAAGACATACCCGTCTGCACGCTTGCACGCACACGACGGTCATGCGTGCTCACACAACTCTTTGCTTTGCTCTGACGTCGTCCAAGGTGGATGTGCCAGATGCAGTAGAGCCGATCCCAAAGAGGCACTCCCATCTCTTGCAAGCTCTTAAGTTCGTTTCTCACCAGCCAGAATATTTCCAAAGTATTTTAATTTTTTTTCAGAAATGCAGGTGCACACGGTTGTCAGGAGCAGCTTGCTTTGAGTTACATTCCTCTTTCACCTTACAGCGGCCATGCTCTTGGGGGCAATTAGTAGTAGTAATTAATGAGGGAGTTTTATCTGCTGCTGCAGTGTGATTCACACAACTTCCAAAAGATCAGTTTGTTAGTTACCGAATAAAATATTTGCAGATGTACTTTGCCTGTGATAACAGCTCTGACTGGTGATGACTCGTTACGGATGCAGGAGTGAAGATCTGCAGGGCCAAAATGTGACTACGTGACCCAGAATTTTAGGCTCCTCCAGCAGCTCGCATGACCCCAGAGTTAGTGAAAGGAACTTTATTCCTGGCTTTAACTTGCAGCAAATTTCTGCGGTTGGGCCTGAGTGGAGGAAAAAGTCCTTTTGCCTCTTCTCAATGCTGCTTGTCTACGGGAGCAGTGAAGGAGGGACAGCGAACATTTGCTCTCCGTAAGAGCCGGAGTGCTCTGCTTGAGGGACAGGGGGTGAAGATCCCTTGGCTTGCGGGCTCACTTTCCTCAAGTAGAATACAGAGAGCAAAAGTGGGCCAAGTGACACCAAAGACTTAGTGCAACAAAGTTTGTGCTTTCTTAATATCTTGTTTTATGGGTTAAAGGTGAGCTTGGGATGGCCAACTTGAGCCTCCTAAGAAACCAGTTCCCATTAGCTTCCATGTTTTTTTCTTTTCTGAAGTGTCTGCGTAAGTGTTTTTTAATAAGAAGACCTTGGGTTGCATTGCAAACATTCTGCAGTTCTGCCTTTTGCAAGTACCCAAGACATGGGATATACAACCTAATTCATTTATCTGGAATACGAATACTAATCAACTTTGATTAGTGTTAACCTCAAACATGCTACTCCTGACTTGTGCCAAAGTTAGGCGTAGGAGAGTCAGAGCTGCAACCCATGAATGAAACTAGAACAGATTTAAGACCATAGACTTGGCAGCGAAAATTGTGACGAGTAAGGTAAGTAAGTTTTAGAAGTCATTGAAATTAGTGTCGTCTTCTAACGGTGTCTGCAGCAGGAGAAGGCTTGAAGACTCATTAGCTCATAATTCATAGTGAATACGTGCGGTGCGTGACTTAGCAGATGGTGCGAGTAGGGACTGATGACCTCATTCATGTGCACTGGGCTTGGCCATAGCGAGCACTGGAACTGATGAAAACCGTAACGCACAGAGGGAAATACGATTTAACTCGGGGTCTCTTTGACCTCCGAGTAGGAGCAGGGGACTGCTGCTTCAAAATGCATGAAATGATCAAAGTTTTAGTAGTAGAGGGGATAGCTGGTTTTTGTTGGGTCCTTGGGTAAAAAATACTTGGGAATTAATCCGTTGCTTTGTTTTGACATCCTTTATATTGACAGAGAGAGATTAGGAACAAGCGTATTACTGAAAGCTCCTTCTCTAACAAAAGACCTTCAGTTAGGAAGTACAAGACAAAGAAAAAATTGTAAAAAATCATTAATCATACCTTACCATACCATATGTAAAGTAATCAGGTTAGGGTTGTCTTCAGCTTTGCTGGCCTAATAAACAGAGCATCTGTCAGAAGCACTTGTTTCAATGATACAAAAATGAGAGTGACCGCTTTCCTTTAGCTATGTTTCGTGGTTTACAGAAAAGAAAATTCTACACCAAAATTAGCCTGAAATTTGAAAAACTCATCAATGCTTGAAGTGGGTCATGAAATGAGCAATGTAATTCCTTCACATTACTCCTAATGCTATATTTGTGTTTATGGATGTGTTGGCCTTGGTTGATGGTAGGTTCTGATTTTGTAATTTAATTTAATTTCTTTCTTATTATAGGCATGCAGCTTGCAAATCTAATAATAAATTTCTGTAAATATTACTTTGGGAGGCATCTGTTCCTCAAGGAAGCCTTAGAGCCAGTGTTTGTTTAACTTATAAAATATGCACAACGTAAATAGTCCCTGGAAGATCTTCTGCAAGGCTGGGGATGCGGTGACATCCAGGGACATTACAGTCCTTCAGGTCAGGCAAATCTGAATGAGTACTTGGAAAGAAATACAGCAAAATTCCATCTTTGTAGGGGCTTGTCTGGTCACAGGTACGGTGACACAATGGCAAGTGTTCCCCGTTGCCCTGGTAACTAAGGTACGAGGGAAAGTAAGTTTGCAGCAAGTTCGCAGAAGGAACCGTATTGTTTTTATATGAAGGGAGTTTCTGTGTGTTGCTTTATCCTTATGTCTCTATGCTAGACGGCGATGTCCTGTGTCAGTACGGGCAAACTGCCTAGATGCACAAAATTCAGTGGAGGAGTTGTGGTTTATATCAGTTGAGGGTTTTCTCCTGTAAGAAGGAGTAGCCTTAGCTGGAAAGAGATGTGTCGTGTGACTGAAGTTTTTCTTATTTGCTTTCTTCTTGCTGGCCATTAGATCAGCTACGCTGTTTGTACTTCGAAGGCTATAAAGCATTACGTAAACACATTATATAGTGTATCCGTCGTGAGCTTACATAAATCTGTGACATCCAGGGAAGAGGTGGTTAGAGGCATCCGATGCCTGGGGCCCCTGCAGTGGTAGAGGATGGATGAAGTGAGATAGGTCTGAATTATGCCCATGGACAAACCATGCCCTAGAAGCGAGAGAGGTGAAAATCCCCGATTTCACCCTAGAAAGTCCTATTCAACCCTGTATTTGACAAATTGGAGGAGGGAGGTATCTGGGGATAATTTTCCATGCAACCATCCTTTATTCAGCCTTATGCAGTCTCCTTTCTCCTGAAGTGGCCCTTCCCAAGTATTCAGATGGTGGGGAAATGACAAAAAACACGGACAAGAATGTGTCTATCCCCACTTGTAAAAGCACTCCTTCCTGACCTTGCGGACTGGCTGGCGGCGCAGTATCCCTGAAGCAGGCAGTTGGACCGTAGGGGGTTTTGCTGCAAAGCTGCATCAAAGCTGCAAGAGGTTCCCAGAGGGCAATGCAAAGCTGCTTTTTTCCCCCCATGGTCCATGAAAAGAAAACGTAAGGGAACTGTGACTTTTATTCCAGGATCAGAAGGGACCCAATGACCATATTCTTTTATCTTCTGCAGTTTTCCCTAGACAGTGCTTTAAAGTATCTATTATTTATTATAATGTATATTGTAAAAATGGATATTATGAAAGATAACTAATCCACAATTTTGAGGTCCAAGAATCTCCATTTAAGAACTATTTAACTGTTTGGATGTGACCCTGGGCAACTGGCCCTACTTGAGTATGGGGGTTAGACAAGATGATGAGCTCAGCCGTTGCTATGATTCTGTGCACTCCGTGCTAGTCTCTACCCCTGGCCCCCCCCAAACGGTCCTCATATTTAGTTCCTCGCTCTTTAGTTCTTTTTTATTCAGATAGTCTGATATCATGGCTACAGTAGAGAATTCTGAGCTTTTGGTTGGTGTAGGATTTGATAAAGTTTGAGTAGTTTATGTTTGAGTAGTGGCTTTATGCAACTTAATGCTACCCAAGATGGAAGGTGGTGAAGGCTCCAATTTAATTTACCACCATTTTTGCATTTTGCATTGTCTTCGTATTGTGTACTGTTGCAATGTCAGTGGGACATCACACA